CGTTCTGTGACCTATAGCTGTTAATTTCTGTGTCATTTGGTCTCTTGTGCATGTGTGGAGAGTTGTCTCATTGGCAATCATACCACATCTTCTTTTTTATATTTACATCAACAGATATAAAAAATTCACCAAAGTCAAGGTGAGACAACAAAACTTAGTTGTAAGATCTCTGAAATTTTTTACAGGGTACGAGTTTTTCTCATTGTTGGAGATTGTACGGTGACAGTAACACCTGTAACTGCTTAAACCCATTTCTTATGCACTTTAGTTTGATAACTCACTGAATATCATACCACATCTCCTTATTTTTATATGCATTACAATTTACATGTGCATGTAATTGTAAATATATATATATCAGAACAAAATTCATTGCGTCACTTTTATTTATGCATCCTTTGGCACAATACAAGTTCAGGGTTCGACATTAACTTTTATACCAACTTGTCCAGTTGGACAAGTGCCCTATTACTTTTACTTGTCCGAAAGTGAAATCTACATGCCCAAACTTTTACATGCTGTTTTTGTGGTTGTAAAGTAGTACATGCAGATAAAATATAGTTATCATGTATATTGGGTGTCAAGACGACCTGAAACTTTGTCAACTACAACATCGATGATAGTTTGAAAGGATCCGAGGAGGGAGGGGAAAGATCGACGAATATACGGGAATTGGATCATTTACATAGAAATACTTATTTCATAATAATTTATCTAAGAAATGCCATTTCAAAAAACCCTTCTTGATAAACTGACAACAACTGACAAATTTGTTAAAGTTTAATTTCATTTTCTCCTTCAAGCTCTTACGTTTTTCCATCTTAGGGGCACATCCGATGTCAAATTCTAAAGTTAGAACAACGAAAATAGACCTCCGCTTTCCATTGGTCGGTGGGAATAACACGTGCGTCGGAAACGCCCGAGTGGTGTCCCGATTGATAATGATAATGACGAAGCATATTCGCGGCCGCCTGATTGGCCAATATTTTTAAACGTGATCTATTTTTGGTAAAATGGGGAATTCAGTGCAAACAAATGACGAAATATACGCATTGAAGGGGGGTTAAGACCATTTTACTCGACCGTGCGGTGTTATCACTGAGTAATCTATGGACAAAACAACAGACACTATTGATTTTGTGAAATTTTAATCATATAACACTTTTTTGTTTACTTGCCCGATCGGACAACCAATATGATGTTTTTACTTGTCCGAATACGGCATTAACTTGCCCCAGGCAATCGGACAACCGTAAGTGTCGGACCCTGAAGTTCTAAAATTACACAACATAAAACAACTAAATGTTATTTCAGATGAAAGTTTTGTTTCAGTTCCATTCATAGGATTTATTAGAATTTTGTATGTTTTGCCAAGTCTAATAATTAGCTCTATGTGACATAGAGACATAGTTGACTAAACCACCAGGTGTCGAACATTCAAGAATTTTCAGTGTTTCTGTTTTTATTTGATGAAAAGGTTGCCTGAGCTCTAGGAGCTTTAGGTTTTATCACGGGATATTCTGTGCTGTCAATAATAATCCAAGTCGTAGGAAACTTTAATTTGAAGTTGGATGGTGAAAAATACCTGACTAAACCACTAGATGGCCAAGTGTTAGCCTCACACCACTGTTTAGACATAAAAACAATCCATGTATACACAATATTCTTAACACTAGATTCAATCTAGAATCTAGACAGTTCAAAGTTGGTTGTAGGATGCCTCAATTTCATCAAAGTCATAAAAAAACTGATTTTCAACTGACACCCTATCAATTTGAAAATATATGTATCTCAAACAATGTGCTGCTGGACCAAGTGTGGTCAAAACAAATAAAAATTTAGTATACAACTCTAAACCGGTATAAAAATGCATGGCTGTGTCACGTGTCTTCATTTCAAAATTCTCTGCTGAAAACATAGGCATTGATGGTGTTTGCGTAATTCCATCTGTGAAGCTCAACATTAGCTCGGCAGTTGGTGGTGGACAGTCATAAATCCTTTCTGCAGTATGAATGACTTCTTCAGGAAAACCAACTTTACAATCAAAACTTTCCTCTAGATTTCTACTACAATATTCATCAAGTTTAGTTCTTTTGTTTTCACAGGAAACTGCCCTGATTTTTCTTTTTGTGGACGATTCAGTCTCTTGCTTGGTCCAGGAAAATAGGCTGGGAATTGCAGTAGACTTAAGTCTCTGTATGGTGGGTTTGCGCCCTGAAAAAGGTTATAAAACATTAGTTTTTTTATAATTAAATGAACTTCCATTAGCAATGTATACTTTGTACTACCTGGCGAAATATTAACTAGATTTATTCATTACAATCTGGATAAAACTATGTTTGCCTGATTCAATGTATGTTATGTAAATCCAAAGGACAAACAATGAGAGACTTATGCAACAAACGTACATTGTTTGTACCTAAATAACTATAATATAGATGAGAGCATGTCATTGTTTTGTTCCTGTTAACATTGTCATTGATATTTTTCAAGAAAGTCTATGAGGCATAGCTTATGCATTCCTGTCATTACTACATTAGCATAATTACTGCTAAAATAATTCTCAGTATGATATACCTCTTGTAAGAAATCATTATAATTGTAGCAATCACCAAAAAATCTCAAACAGATCACATTGAATCGTAATCCAAAAAATTATGACGTCTTGAATTACCCACCCCCTTTTATTCAAAAACGATAATTGCGGTTGTAAACAGACTTTGGTTTATTCGCATGGCGATTACATATATAACTATATATTTCACAAGGAAAATAGAGTTTTACCATGAATAGTTTCCTGCACGTAGTCTTTTTCAGTAAAACGTGCCTTGCAAACAACAGCTGATTGAGATGGACTCAACGATATCATCGTGTTCTCGTCCAATCTGCGTATGGGCCATGGCGTTGATCCAACTTTTCCTTCTTTTTAAGTCATTTGGAAATGCATGTCCTTCTCTTAAATGACATCCAGGTACACAACAACAAGTACTTGGCATCGTTAATTAAAAATATAACTGAAATAGTTGCACAGTGCAGAAACCGGAAGTAGAGGAACAGGTTCCGCTACCACGGCGCCACCTATTCAGGAACGATAATTTGCTACTTTATATAACTGCGAAAATAACGTTAGACGGGTTCACGTGCATAAACAGAAATGCGCTTTAAATTGTATAATATAATTCATGTTCAGTCGACCTTTAATTATTATATCAACGACTGAAATGATTTATAAACATCTAGATTGCAGATAACACTCGAAATTAACCCGAGCTCTTTCCACACGGAATTCAAATAATTCTAGTTTGTCAATCGGTTGACTGCTTATGATGCAAAATACTAATATATCAAAAGTTTTTAAAACTAACAAAACACAATGATCGTTTCTCTATTTCCCAATGTAAATGAAATGAAACAAAAAACATTTTATATCGCAATAAGAAGAGGAGAGAATTCAACATTTCCGGATCTACTTGGAGTCTAATGACCCCCCACGTAGATAAGTTGGATATCGCGGAAGGAAGGATTAACCCGGCAACTAGAAAGGCATTAAAGCACTGCCTTTAAAAATCTGACAGCCACAATATAGCCACTAGTGCCAAATGTGGCATTAAACGCCAATAATCAATCAATCATTTAATTTAGCTTTCATTCACAGGAAAAAAGTCAAATCAACATATAAATCTTATTATTAGTGCAGAGACATGTCTTTCCTTTTTTTAATACTTTTTTTTTATTAAACTAGAGCAAGAGCCTGTGCTGCTCACCTGTATCTACTGTTTTGGAAATCATGTAAAATAAGGTTAAAATCATAACAAATAGTATTAGATACCCTAATAATGATAGAGACCAAGTTTGGTTTTAATTTGGCCCAGTAGTTAAATTAAAAGCAAGTCATCCCATTGTAGTCTAACAATAGTTACTGAAGACCCCTTATCATTATTTAAATTAGTTTTCAAGTTGTGACCATTTGAAATTGTTTTTTTAACAATTTTCCTATAGACTTCTAAAGAAAAAACCTATGTTCTATTTTTAGCCATGGTGGCCATGTTGGTTGGATGGCAGGGTCATTTGATACATTTTTCAATCAAGATACCCTATTGAAAATTGTGGCAAGGTTTAATTTTATTTGGCCCAGTAGATTAAGTGGAGAAGATTTTTGTAAAAGACTACAAAAATTAATGAAAAATTGTGAAAAATTTACTTTAAAGGGCAATTACTCCTAAGGGATCAATTGACAATTTGGTCATATTGACTTATTTATAGATCTTACTTTACTGAACATTCTTGCTTGTTACAGTTTATTTTTATCTATAATAATATTGAAGATAATAACCAAAAACTGCAAAATTTTCTTATAATTACCAATTCAGGGGCAGCAACCCAACAACAGGTTGTCTGATTTGTCTGCAAATTAAATAGTTAGATAGATCTGGACCTGATGAACAATTTTACGCCATGTCAGATTTGCCCTAAATGCTTTGGTTTCAGAGATATAAGCCAAAATCTACATTTTACCCCTATGTTCTATTTTTAGCCAGGGCATCCATCTTGGTTGGTGGGCGGGGTCTTCAGATATATTTTTTAACTACATACCCTAAGGATGATTAAGGCCAAGTTTGGTTCAATTTGGCTCAGTAGTTTCAGAGGAGAAGATTTTTGTAAAAGTTAACTGACGACGACAGACGCCAAGTGATGAGAAAAGCTCACTTGACCCTTTGGGTCAGGTGAGCTAAAAAGGGTTTCAAATTATGAAAATGTCCATAAGACGTCATTTTCTGCTAGCACTTCATGTATCAGTGAAGTCTAAAATCTAAATTGGCATATACAATATTTTCTAAAGAGTAACTGAACATGTGTACTGATTAAAATTTGATGTGACCACAGCTTTATGTTAATCTGCCTTTACCTTTACATAATACAGGAGGGACTAACAAACATACAACCCTACAAATGAAGGCTGTACATGTATCATTTTCTAGATGAACAAATTGGACAACAAATCTATTTCTAACTATGATTTAATTCTAAGAGCTGCTAATAATGATATACTAAATTCAGAATTTTCAAAATAGCAATATAAAAATCTACTTGTAAACAACAATTATAAATATTTCTCTCTTTAAACACTTAAACAAAGCTTAAACAAATTTTTATAATAATATCAGATCTTAAAACATTAAAAAATTTCAAACAAACAAAATATATTAATCACATGCATGATGCATACCTTTTAAAAGGATTTTTTTGTTCATAACAAATATAAAAGCAGTCTTTCCTGATTAAATTTTAAAACAGCTCACAATATGTACAATCACAGTCAGAACGGTAGGTACACATTAAGCTTTCTTTTTTTTCTTCAAATAAATCAGATACTAGTTACCTTATCTTTTAAGATTTAACTTGAAAGAGCATGAAATTAACTAAACTTGAGGGTGCCTGATAGAAATATACATGGACTTCATATATTCAGTTTCTGTTCTGAATCAAATTCCTATTTTACTACTTTCAAGATGCTGATTAAGGAAACATTCTTTAAACAATAATGTAAATTTGTTACTAGTCTGTAACTGCATCAAAGGAGTAAAGCACCGTCTAAATTCAATGTCTTTATGTCCTACAAACAAGCATTTTCAGTTAACAGAATATAAATCCAGGTACTGTAAATTCAGAAATTAATGCGAGGTTTTTATTAATGTGAATAATGCGACTCCTTGAGTATCCCAATAATAAGAACTGCCATTATGGTATATGATACATATATATATATGAAGCTTTTCCTAAATTCCCAATAATTATTTCGCATTTTTTTTTAATTCTTCAAATATAGCAATAATAAATGCACACAATAATTTCTGAATTTACAGTACAAGTTAGTCAGTTAACCAAACCCTTATCAAAATACATATACAAAAAATCATTTCATGTGTTGTGATGAAATTCTTTGTCTTTGACCCCCAGCTCCAACCATTAGTTACCTAGATTTGTTTGAATAAGCACCTAGTATATATTTTTTTTAAATGTAAATGAAAAAAAATGTACAGTTGGCAGAATTTAAAAAAAAAAACTTATCCATCATAGTGTTCACTGAGTAAATTACAAACATTTAAGTGAGCCTTAGTACATTATTAAATATCAGCAATCATAACACTAACAGTCTTAAAAAATACCCATATGTCAAGTCAAAAATCAGAATACCGACTCATATATGACAATTTGGCATCAGAAAATGCATAAATTCCTCGCTGCATTGAAGACCCATTGGTGGCCTTCAGCTGTTGTCTGCTCTTTGGTCGGGTTGTTGTCTCTTTGACATATTCCCCATTTCCATTCTCAATTTTATAAAACATTTAATGAAATAACAAAAAATAAGTTCTGACCTATGAGGTAAAATAAAAATATTTTGTTAACATTTGCAATGTCAGTAAAAAATCTTAAGATACAATATATCAATTTCATGGCATATCTACCATTGCATCCATTACAAATACATATTTCTGCAGGAGATCTCAGATCAATATATCAATATAAAACTGCTGATCGTTATATCCATTAAATACATACTAATATCAACATCACATTCATATAAATATATATATAAGGCACTCAAAATTTATATAAAAAGTAAATTACTATCCTCTAAAATATTTTTACGAAATTCTATCACACACATTTTGATTTTCACCTGCAGCTTTTTCAAATGAAATTGGACTTTTTGATTATTCAACTTCTACTTTATTCTTAGCATTACATTTTTCTAATGAGTTTTAACTAGTATAAGCATAAAATAGAAATTCCCAATAAATAAGAAAAAAAACTTTAGGTTTGAGAAAATTAGGGAATTAACTGTCTTGATATATATTTGGCTGATTTTTATTAAGAAAGTATTCCTCAAATAACACCAAAAAAACACATAAAAGGAGCATTAAGGTGGATTGGGGGTCATAATCAAAATCCATAGAATATTTTAATAATTTGTCAAAACTTAGTTTTTATCATGCTTTTTTCCAGAATATAATAAAAAGTATGGGTCACCAGACTTTTTTCCAGGCTACAGGTTTTGCAAAATTGTCAGATTTTGTATAAATTATGCATGGAAAATCCAATTTTGTGTGATAGAAAGAATACTACACCATAAAATTTTAAGATGAAATGTGAGAAGATAGCTATTAAAACATGCTTTCAGATAAGAAAAAAGAAAAAATGGGGTCACTGGACTTGTTTTCTTGCTACATATTAAAATAGAAATTCAAAACACTTTCTATTATAAAAATTACATTATCTGAGTTATCTCCCCTACTCTCGGAGTTATCTCCCCTTATGTGTCAAAGTTGAAAAAAAAATGAATCAAAAACAAAAATATTGTGTTTTTTAGAAAATACAGCTGTAAATATGATAAAAATACATAAATTTCTATATTAACATGAAAAGTCTTACACATGAATTACATACTACTCTCAAAATTCTCATATTTGATTTATAACATAGACTAAAACCTATATCCAAATTACAAAGAGTCAACAACAACATAATTATTAACAATGCATGGACTTGTTATAATGTATCAGCATTTCATGTGTATTTTAGTCTCAAGATTAGATGTTATCTAATAAACCATAAAGATGACCTATAAAGAATGAATATGGCCTATGACCAGATATAAACAAAAATACAAATGCATTAATATAAATAGACAGACAAGCATGTGCAATCATATCATGTTGATTTTTCTAAAGTCTTAGTAATATAGACAAAAGCAAAAAGAAATGTCCAGGCTAATTAGAAAATTAAATTACATTAATATCAAATTCATTATATTTTTTCATATAATATTATTTTATAAAAAATTGTCAAAGATAAGATGTTATAAAAAATCTTTAGGCATGCAAGGATAATTCTAAATTCCTAATAATTAATTAATAGCATTTGATTCTAGTTCTCAACTTTTGTGTTACACCTATAGTGTATAATGAATTAACAAAAAGTTGCACCCATTCTCATGCTAAGCATATCCCAGAAAAAGTTAAAAGAAAGGTGAATGCAATTTAGCTTCAACTCATATAGCACTTGTGGATTAAATGTGTTAGTTAAATTATTCATACACTGTAAATTCAGAAATTTTTGCAAGCATTTATTATTGTGATCCTTGAACAATGGACAAAATTGCGAGATTATTTATTGCGATTTCTGGAAATGCGGCATACAAAAATTGCTATAAATTTTAAAATGCAAGTTTTCATTTTTGGGAATCTTTCCTGCAATAGTGATAACATCTCAAATATTTCTTAATTTACAGTATCGAGATTTTATAAAGAAAGGTTTATGAATATCACATCAGCTATACTTCTAACAATATACATATGATATACTGGCAGTGTTATGTCATTGCAGTAAAATGTTAATACCACTCAGTTAATACAAAAGACTAGACAATTGACCAATAGCAAGTTCAGTTTATCCCCTTCATACAGTCGATAATAAGGGGACGAAGTCCCCTATTACAGTAGAAAAATCAATAAAAAAAAATAAAAATAAATCGGGAAAATTTCCTGAAATTTTTCATTGTTCTAATGAACTCAAAATCATTAACTTTTTTTTTTTTTGTCGCTTTTTTTAATTCCAGCATTTGCGCAGAAATCTACTTCCTTCTTTCGGTCTCATTGTCATGAGACCTTGAGTAGTCTAGTAAAATATAGGAACTCAAGGAACACAATACCAATTTCACTTTTAATAATTCTTTGTCTTTAATATGAATAAACGTTACCTGATGATCGCGTTTCTTTGTTTACATTGAACATGACGTCATAACTTAAATAACGTCACAAGTAAAATCCCTAACAACAGAACCAAAATCAGAAACGTGACGGTATTTCCGTTTCTTTTTTAACAGATTTTGAAGTTACGAAAAAAATAATTCATACAAACTTCGTCCCCTTTCACAGGTAATGCCTGCCTCATATTACTTATACAAATCATGTTTATTTACTTGAAGGTGTAAGTTATATTTACTTTGCAGAAGTTAATTTGTAAGATTTAAATTTCTATTTCAAGATTTGAATGATCTCCCCTTAATCTTCTCAAAAAATTTACTTATAAAAGCATTTTTTTTATGTAACCCCTTAAATCCTCAAGTTTTGTGAGGTCAAAACATACCTATACAATTTTTTCTGGTTTGCTAATATTTTTTAATTAAAGTTCAACCTTTTACCTCAAGAACTAAACACAGAAATCTACTAGCACAGATGTTGAGTAGCTGTGCAGGGCCTTAATTTTTTTGCACTTTGGAGGCTAGTAAATGAGCAGTATTTTGAAGATGAGATTTTCACTCTCCGTAAAATTATACATTTATGAATTATAAAGACAACTATTAATGTTTATTCATGCTTATTTTTTTTTCTCTCTTGTATTTTCCACCTTTTTCATATTTATATATTTATTACAGAGCATGCCAGTATTTATATTTATGTATTGTTCAATAAGTGAATTATTTGTGTAATAGGAGACAGATTTGTAAAAGCAAATTTGCTAGTTTATGAATCCTTAATATTTATTTCAATTGTATTATATTGTTATATGATGATTTATCTGAATAAATTTGTCTTGTTAGTAAAAGCCCTTTACATGGACAATATAAATGGCACAAATCCATTTAGGTCAACTCCTTGTATAAATGGGATAAAGTTACCTTTCAATTCTCAAGTCTAGACAGCTATTTTCTGTGTTATTTTGACAATTAGGATGATATCATATACATATAGTAGTTTTGAGTGAAATCATCTTTTTAAGTCATCATTAAAAACTTGAAATATTATTCAATATGGCACCAAATCAATCTCATTTAACATATACATAACATAGACAAACTATCAGTCAATCTGATTGAAACACAGATCCTGTATTCATGCTTCACACCACAGCTTCTAGGAGTCAGAGCAAAGATAGATACTAAGTGAACTAGCAGGTAAAATAAACTGTTGACACTGAGATATGTCTTGCATTTTTGTAATTTTGATAGTATTATGCATATTTTGAACACAGACAGCAATATTCGAACATGTAAGCTATGCAAAACATTCAAAGTAAATAACCATGACTGAGGGAGCAAGGCCAAATAATCTCCATCGAAATGAGATGTGCCTTTGTTAATTCAACTGCATACCAAATATCATTGACCTACCATTAGTGGTTCCCCTTAAACTGACCTAAATCACACACTAATACATTGTAAACGTCGCCCCCACTGCCACTGTTGAAAATAGCATATAAGATTTGCTTTTTGACCCTGTCAAGGCTCAACAAATATCAAACTTCTTGTCCTTGATAGACATATAATATTTGCTACTGAAGGTTATACACAAATGTTTGACGATTTTCATCACCCATGCTTTGCTTATCAAACCCTAAAATGTCAGCTAAGAAAATTTCTGCCTTTCTCATCATTAGTACGACTGAGAGTACAACAGAGTGTTGTCAGATACTTGTAACGGAAGTGAGTACACATGATTGTATTTCAATTAGATTGACTATGAGCAGTTTCTTAACATATCACAGAATTTACAATTATTGTGGAACTTCTTTATCTCATATAACACATCTTCCCGAAGTGAATCTTTTTGTGAGAAATAATATACAAGATGTCCTACTCTAAAGTCAAGTGGAGGTAGAAGTTGCTGGAGAATATGCTGCATGTGACCATCTTCTGGATTTCCTTTCTTATGATACCTTGAAAAAATGAAAGAATGAGTCAGACAGAGAGATGGCAAAAATTTGCATTAGCACTTCACTTAGTTAATTAAAATTCCATTTGATAATAAATTGATGTTTTATTATATAAAAAAGTACAATAAGTTCTCCCAATATTTGAGCTGCGTCGGATGAAAATTGACAGTGTGCAAATGAATATATTTATACATCTGTTAATCTCTTACAGGTTGAAAATACTGTACAGAAAGTCTGTAACTTTTTGAAAATTGATTTGTTATAAGAACCCTACAAAACAGACCAAAATTCATCTTCTATTTCTTATTTGAATGTTCCAAAATCAATCAAAGTCTAATACATGTACATGTATACATGCACTTGCAAGAGGTTGATTTCTATCCGATGCAGGTCATTTATTATTTCCTATAAATTTCATAATGTTAAGAAATCACTGAGCCTTGAACTTGATGTCTTCCAATCCTTTGCATTATCATTTCCTATTTATATACATTAGATATCCAAATCTTATTTATATATATTTTGTGCTAATATTACATTGTATTAACATATTTATATCAACTATAATTACCATCACACTGGAGCCTGACAATCAAACAGATGCACAAACTAAAAACATACCCTCATATTTAAGCAGGTGAGGCTCAAAATCTTCCCTGGAAAACTTACATATCTCAAGTGATGGGTAAAGTGAATGAACAAATTACAAAGATTGAAAGTTGCTTACTCTATATTTTTAATTCTGAATCCCTCCATTAGGCCATAAAATTTAACAAATCCAATCCAGCAATGTGATTCACTAATTGTTGTAGGGTCCAACATTTGACATATATTTCTCAAAGAGTTTGATGAACAATATTGATGCAAAGCATCTGTTAAAGTCAGATTACAACTCTTACACTCTTCGACATAACCTGAAAAACAAAATGAGTTAGTTTTAATATGGAATTGTAAACAAACAAGTATATATGTATTAAAATTCATTATAATCAAGTTTTATTAGAAGATATGAATCAAAGTGCTTGTGATCATTGAAGGGTAAAGATTTTGTGAATTTAAAAGAAAACATTGCAATGTATTTAGCTAGGCAAATTATAAATTTAAATAGGAGTTATCTTCCTTTGTTCATGATTTTACAGTTGTAGTTCAGTTCTGTTTTTATAACAGATTCATATGCCATTCATTACTTACGTAATTGTTAATAAAGAAAAGTTTTCTTGACATGTATGTCAAATCAAATACACATCATATTGTAACTTGAATATCTAATTATAACATATCATTAATGAATTGCATGACATTGACTGGATAGGATCTAAATAATGATCCGTACTTCATTGCACTATTTTGTTTTCACAATCAAAGGTAGTGATAAACCTTGGATGAAATTTATTTTAAGCCGGTACCATAAAAGTTTTGATTGCATTTCATGCAATTTTACCCCCCAAACAAGTTGAACTGTGACCTCAAGCGTAGGCCTGCTATAAGCTTTCAGTTAACAGGTAAATAAGTAATTGATGTAAAATGCATCACAAGGTATAGATTGTTCACATGAAGGTTGATTCCAAGTTTTAGAACACGATGATTCGTAGTTCCTGAGAAAAATAGTTAAATATTTCATACACAACCACTATGAGTAAGAAAAATATAAGAATTTGATAAACAGCTGATACTGACCTGAACTACCATAAAGTAACTAAGGGTGATTTAGAGCTGGACTTTTATATGGACAGCTGTGTCAATGTCTTTGGAGACTGTATATTCACCTATTGAGATCCTTTGTTTTGTTTGTGTTGTTAGGTTGCTGTCTTAACATCCCCTTTTATTCATTTGATTTATTGTCATACTTCATTCTTTAAAGCTTTCAATAACTTAAAAAGCAATTTCTTCAATGACATCTACACTACACCAACCACAATATGACCATAGAAAATATCAGAATCTAAATGATAATTACCTATTTTATTCTGAGGCATAGCGTCACATTTTTCTGAACTTGTAATGTTAGCACCATTAGAATTATTCGAGGAAAAGGGACTATTTCGCTCACGAACACATACAGCTTCGTCTGGTAGAGATGGGCTACCTGGACAATCTACTGCAATGAAAAACAAATGAAATTTATGATAATATATAAAATTGTCAACAATATGCCAAACTACTGAATAACAAAATTTATCACATGGTCTGAACATTACCATAGAATGACCTTGAATGTTAAATTGTTGTTATTGTATAGACAGACTGAAAAACATATTCAATTTCATTATATAAATGTACTGTTTTTTTCATTACACCCAAAACAATAACTGGTACCTGCTTAAATATAACAAAACTTTCATCTTCTCATATTTGTATTGTAAAACCGTTATAACAAACTGCTCAGAGTCTGAAAAGACCATATTTTGTGCTGGACCAGTAAGGTCAAGCACAGATTTTACTTGATAAGACTCGGACATAATCTCGACAGTACTTAACTGTACTTAACTGTACTCCACTTTGGTCTCGACTTTACTTAATAAGTCTGATTGAGTATTTGATAATCTTGGTATAGTCTGAAATGTTCTTGACAAATGTTCGACCAGTCTCGACTCATGTCTTGACCTGTCTTGACCAGTCTTGACTCAGTCTCGACCAGTCTCGACCTGTCTAGACTCAGTCTTGATCTTTAAATTTAGTCTCGACTGATCTGAATTAGCCCATCTAACTCAATTATATATTGATCTTACAAAATTCAAGGTTATTTGGTAGTTTGGTTCATTGCTGTCAAATTAAAGGATTTAATTAATAGGTAAAAAAAGCTAGAATTTTCAGTTGGGACTAAATCCAGATAGTCACCTTTAAATTTTTTTATAACTTTTCCAAATCAACTTTTAAGACTTATTCAGAAAGGATATAGTTAAGATACTGTTGTCAGGTCATTAAAGATGGCATATTTTGGAATTAATATTGATTCACTCATAGGTTTTTTTTTGCGCCTGTCCCAAATCAGGAGCCTTTGGTCTGTGTTAGTCTTGTATGTTTTTTTTTTAATTCTAGTTCATTTATATGTTTTGGAGTTTAGTGTGATGGCCATTTTCACTGAACCAGTACACATTTTTGTTTAGGGGCAAGCTGAAGCCAGCCTCCGGGTGCGGGATCTTTTCTCTGTGTTGAAGACCCATTGTTGGCTTTCGACTGTTTTTTGCTCTTTGGTCGGGTTGTTATCTCTTTGACACATACCCAATTTCCATTCTCAATTTTATTTGAGAAGCATATAAAATAAAATGAAAGCACAAACCAGAATAAATTCTAACCTTCAACTAAATTTTCTTCAACTGTTAACATGGAATCAGTACCTAATCTGTTGTATTGCAGAGATAAAGTGCTTTCACCTACTGGCTCTGGTCTTTCCTTATCTGAAAAAGTCAAACAGTTGACATGAGTGACAATAAGTGATAGTCAACAATCATGATGCAAAACAAATTGAAATCTATAAGTAGTAACACATATCAGATCTACAGATCAGCAGTTTTTAGAAACATTAACAACAAGATTGAACACAATTTATGACATAGTCTGCTTTACTGATCATAAATAAATAAAGGATGGCTTGATTGCAGTTTGTGTAACATACAATTGCAAGATAAAGGTTTTACATCTTTAAGATAAAGATAGATTTTACTACAGGTATCACATAAACATGATAAATTTAACATCATTAAGATCAATGAAAATAGGGTCAAGGTTAGATGAACCCTGCAAGACAGACATGTGAACATTACAATCATTCAAAGCACCAAATATAGATCATCTGTTCCTTATAGTATTTGAGAAACAAGTGTGATATTGAGCACTGAACCTTATAAGAGCAAGGTCATATGAAACAATTGAATTTAACAAATAAAGTTATCCTATTACTCTTAATAAATTAGTGAAATTCATGTGATACAGGTTTCTAAGCAGTCAATGAACCATGAAATGAGATCAATGACAATGGACATATGCCTGAAAGAAACTTCTAAACATAAGGCATCTGTTTACAAAATCTGAATTTTCCAATTCCTTTACAATCTGAAATATAAATGCTTTATACAAATAGCTTACACTGTTGCTGCCAACACCAAGAAACCATCTATAGTTGCAGCATTTGTCATATAAGATCAATATTGTACATAATGTGGATTCATTTAGTTTTCATTAGTATCTTCTTTAAAGTTTCAAGAAATATTTCTATTTTGAGGGTACCTAACTTATAGTGTCATCATTTACTCCTATACTACCATATAAGCTAAAATTTGCATTACATTGAGTACTGTATATGTACTTTTTTCCAGGTGTTTCTATTTTCATGAATTTCATGGTTAGTATATTTAAAATAAAAACACATGAATACAAATGCAGCTTACATGCATATAATAAATACCATTGAATAAATATCACTGGAATTTACAACTGCACATGCATGATTACTTCGTTTACCCTGCATGCCTTAATGAAACTGTGAAACTGTTAAAATTAGAAGAGATCCAGATAGAAAATCTAATAAGGATGAACAGCAATACATAATGCCCTAAGCCAAATATAACAGCTTTATCGTGTAACTAACATCTTTAATTATCAGTTAATAAACTCAACTGATCAGACAACTGACTTGATGAATTGAATAATCTTTGTTTAATATTTTGATTAAAAAAATTGTGAAACAAAAAACCTCAGGGTGCGGGTTTTTTTCACCGTGTTGAAGACCCATTGGTTGCCTTGGGCTGTTTTCTGCTCTTTGGTCGGGTTGTTGTCTCTTTGACACATTCCCCATTTCCATTCTCAATTTAAAAGACTAAATTTATGAATATTTTAATACATTAAGTCAGTTATTAGTGTTTTAATATTTTTTTAAATACTGCAAAATTTTATACTCATGAATTCATGGGCAATACCAAATTCATTACAATAAGTACTTGCAAAAATATGTACTGCATATACAGTATATACAATTGTTGTTTACCCGACCAAGAATCAACCATTAGTATGCCACATACCACAGTACATAATAAGATATGTACCTAATAACAATTGATTATTGTCACAGGTAAGTCTTGAGGCTTTTAGTTTCTGATTAAGATTAACTCCCTTGTCTGACTCTTACACTATATAAATGTTGTAATATTTTTATAATGGTGAAAAGTGTATCAAAATTCTTTCCGGGCTTGTATTTCCTCGATAGAGGGTTGCTGCTCACAAGGAATTTATTAAACCAAGAGATCCAAATGGTGAAGTTGAAATCATCCCTCTGTAAATTTTATGGACGCCATCACGAGTTGGTTGACTGTTATGGAATATCCATTTCACAGATGATAGCGGATATTTTCCTAATGTCGTAACTACAATCCTGTCCCCTTTTCACAATGTGACCTACCGTATTAAACTTGTTACCAACTTTGTACTAACATGAACAACATGACGGGTGCCACATGTGGAGCAAGATCTGCTTACCCTTCCGGAGCACCTGAGATCACCCCCAGTTATTGGTTGGGTTCGTGTTCCTTAGTCTTTAGTTTTCTATGTTGTGTTTTGTGTACTTTTATTTGTCTGTTTGTCTTTTTCTTTTTTAGCCATGGCGTTGTCAGAAACTTTTTAATTTATGAGTTTGAATGTCCCTCTGGTATCTTTCGCTCCTCTTCTTTTGCAATAACTGGAGTAAGACTTTTTCATACCTTTAAAACTGTAATGAGCTGAAGATATTTATAAAGAGAAATGTTGACAAACCACCAAGTTCTAAGAACCATCAAGGCATCATTTTAGGCAGATAAATTAAACTTACCACATAATGTAATGTTAAAGCTGCCTGTTTGTTTCCCTTGTTTACTATTGTCTTTTAATTGCCAATTATAAACACCCTCATTGTTTTTGCTGGCTGATATTATCTTATAATAATTAAGTTTATGTTCATCATAGTCTCTATCTATAATGAAGTCTGAATCTGTTTCTACTATTTTAGTTACTATTATAATCTCATTACCTACAAAAAATATTCACAATATTTAGATAAATTTTCAAACCACAAATTAGCATATGATAGTTGTAGTTTCTGAAAGTACAGTCAAACCTTGTTGTGTTGAAACTGGGAAAAGTTGTGGTATTTTATCAGTCCCTGTAAAATTCCTGTTTGATCCATGCATTTTGAACTCTTATAAGTCAATCTTGGTTGATGCCAAATTTTGGTTAGTTTGAGTATATTTCAAGGCACATATATATTTATGTTAAATTTTGTGAAGGTTGGACCTATACTTCAAAATATATCATCTGGAAACCAAAATGTTACCCAATTTCAGTCTATCAATTGCTTTTGTGACCTTTGACCTAGTTAATTCTTCAAAGCTATTTTTGGAACCAGAACTTTTCACAAAATTTATTTAAAGACATTGACACTGACCTTTGACCAACTGAACCAAAATCAAAAGGGGTCTTGTTTCTTTCCTAAAGGCATTCTCAAGCTTAGTGTGGTGAAGTTTTGACAGATTGTTCAAAACATATCATTCAGAGACATAAATATTGCCCACATTTCGATTTTTCAACTGCTGCTGTGACCTTGATCTTTGATCTAATTACTTATTAAAAACCCTAAAAATCAACAGAGGATTTTCTCATCCCATGGAGCATTATCAAAATCAATTTTGGTAAAAGTTAGACATAATTATCAAAGATCCAACAAAACTTCAGTTTTAAATAGCTGATTTGACCTTGACCTCTACCATAGTGAAACAAAATCTATAAGAGGCAATATAAAACCAGTATCATAGGGATGGCATTCACATTTGTCATATTATAACTTAGAGTAAGACTTTGTCCCAACTCAGCTTAAAATTAGCTATTAATTGAAAAATCAGATGTCTGATCATACTCCACCTGATATTCATATTTAATTTTTGTGTAATATCAAAGTTATTACCTCTTATGACACTGTAATAAATTCCATCATCTCTGTAACTCTCTCTCAACCCACTAACTTTCACAAGTAAAGGCTGTGCTGGCTTTGAATCTACAGATAAAAATGTGTCAAAAAATATTTAGCAACTTTGTCTTGCCAATTTTGGCTTTAATGTATTAGAAAATGTCACACACAAATAGAATAAATCTAGTGTGCAATGATTACATAGTCTCATTGAAAATAAAAACAAGAATGTGTCCATAGTACACGGATGCCCCACTCGCACTATTATTTTCTATGTTCAGTGGACTGTGAAATTGGGGTAAAAACTCTTAATTTGGCATTAAAATTAGAAAGATCATGTCATAGGGAACATGTGTACTAAGTTTCAAGTTGATTGAACTTTAACTTCATCAAAAACTACCTTGACCAAAAACTTTAACCTGAAAAACTTTAACCTGAAGCGGAACAGACGGACAAACAGACGCACAGACAGAAAAACATAATGCCCATAAATGGCGTACAAAAACAGTGAATAATTTCATACATCTGCCTTCACATAATTTTCTATACTTGCACCTTGATCTATTATCCCACATTTGTAATAACAAGAGCATATACCCCGTTATATGTTTTCATTAAATCATATGTTCTCTTAACATAATGTTAAAGCTTTTATGCAAACTGTTACGAGTACATACTGTTAAATTCATACACCAAACTCTGTACATGTGTGCATATTTTTGTATGTACAATGTTCTGTCAATTGAATATTTTGTTTTCATTTGACTTAAATACTTTTGAAATTGGACTGATTATAAGAAATTAAAACAAATTCCAATCAAGGGATCAGTTGAAAATATCTTATGCTTTCATTCTGAATTTAATATCAAGACATTGAAGTTCCCAATGGTACAAAACATAAAAGTAGTGTTACATATACCATAATCATTCTTTATTAGTGGCACGTTTTCCTCTCTGATAAGGTCCTCCTTTGACCTAACTACCAAAGGATAATTTTCTTCATCAGGATCAGAATTAGATTTTCTTTCCTCATCTTCAGCGATTTTAGTTACATTTTCTCCTCCCTGGTATTCACAATCAGCCTTTATACTTGTGTCAATAATGATTGAACATGCATCAGTAATAGATAATTGTGTGTCAATTGTCATATTATCATTGGTGCTTCCAAAGGATGAGTCAGGAACCTTAGAATCTACTACTGACATTGCAAGAATTTCCTTTCTACTGGAAGAACTGTCTTCACTAGAACTAGTACTGCAGATCTCTTTTTTCACTACAAAATATTGTAACCTACATAAAAAAAAATCTATAAGTTTGCCGCCCAAAACTTTATTTAGAAAGCTTAGTTTTTACATGTTCCTGTTAGGCATCAAAGCTACTTTCAATTGGTCAATTCACCCCATATTCTTTCTTTGAAAAATGTATGCTTTAATATAATTTTTGAAATCTTCCCTAAAATACATCTGACCTCTTAAATTGTGCATACAGATTAAAAAAATCTTATGGATTTCTTAAGTTCAAAATTGAATTATTGATACAGTTTTCCTGAGTACATTTTCAATTTTTAAAGCAAACAAAAAATGGAGTTAAATATGTAATAAGTATAGTTATTTCTTAAACAAAACTAACAAAAAATCAACTCTGACTTAAACCATTTTTTGTTCTGTATATCAATATTAATGTGTCCCATAATCACTTAATTGTTATGTTCTAGCTGATTGATTCCGTTCATAAGACAGACACCATGTTTTTATTCAGAAACATGTATGCCTATTTTTATATTACCTGCTAAGTGAAGTTGGTTGATTGATGTAGCAGTGCATTGTTGGTCTGAAACTTTATATCTCTAATTTTACTTTAATAAGCGAATGCCATTTTGTTAAAACCTATTTTAAGGGTTTTTTATATCTTGACTTATGGAGTTTTTTCATCACAAATATTGAATATGTCATACTCCTTACAAGCAACAAATATATTAAACCAATTGCTGAAAGTACGTTTGCATCAGAGAAAATGCCTCTACTGGAAAACCAAACTGTTACCAGTGAAAAAGGAAAATGAGATAAAGGACAGGTGAACATGGTAAGACAGACATGTTAAAGGCCGTACAGTGAAATATAGTTGTTAATTTTTGTGTCATTTGGTCTCTTGTTGAGAGTTGTCTCACTGGCAATCATACCACATCTTCTTTTTTATACGTACACCTTACACCAAATAAAGTTGAACTATTGATTATAGTATCTAAGACAGAGAAACTTTACCTTGATCACCTATACACAATAAAGTTTTTTTTAAGAAGTAGCTGAACCATGGAAATGAGGTCAAGGACAATGGACATATGACAGATGGAAACTTCAGGAAATAAGGTATCTGTATACAAGGTATAAAGTTACTGGGTCGTCTACCCTCTGAAATATAAAACTTTGACCAAAAAGTGTAAGTGTCTGCCACCAGATTAGCATTGCTATGTCTCACAGTCTGCAACTTTAGTTGCATGCCATCCATACAAATATGTCAATTGCAAGTAGAAGGTATATATAGAAGTCAGCATATACAATATGTCAAGTAAAAAAAAAGTAAAACAAAACAAGTGAATAAATTAAATAATCAAAACATCGTCGGTGCTGTGATCCAGCCATATTTAAGCTACAGGTAGTCAGATATTTTTTTTTATCTCATTTTCAATTTTTTTTATACAACCTTCTTTAAGATATTTATATAGAGACAACCATCACAACTTTGGATAAGAGATTTTAGTCCAAACTGTTAACTTGTGTTTAAACACTTTTCACAAAGAAAAAAACCAGGGACAATCTAAAATCATAAGTTAAAAAAAAGACAGACAACACAAGGATTGAAATGTAGAACGTCATCATTTTCATTACTTTTTCACTAAATAACTACCAGTGTTATTTTTCCTTTTCAAAATCGTCCCTTTCAGCTTATGAAATTCCCCCCCCGAAATTGTACTTCTTCTAAGGTACTTCTGACAATCAAAGTAATTGAAATCTCTGATGGAAAGTGTGCATAGTTTCAAATCATATTCTCAGGTATCATGGTGAACAAAACAAAAGTTGATATATCACTCTTGCATTAAATTCAGAAAGATAATTGTTTTTTTTTCAGTTGATATAATAAACTTGTCTTCGCAAATTAACTTGTTTAAAGTTGATATAACAAACTTGTTGTCTCTAAATTTACTTGTAAATGGTTGCTTTTGGGAGTATTTCTATGTTTCAAAATAGGTTATAAATGCAATTTTACTAACTCTGACATCATTGGATCATTAATGATTTTTGATAAAAGTTATGTGACACTCAAGATGAACACTTTTATTTCATTTCCATAATATTACTAAAAAAAAGTGTATTTAACTGTCCAAAGATGGAAAATTTCTCAAAATTCTTTTGTTATTTTGATATTTCAAATTTTAGAAGGAATACTGATTTTTAATATCTTCTTTTTTCAATTAAATAATTTTGACATAATTAGAAATAGAAATCTTCAACAAATGGTGTAGTATATTTTTTCTATTGACGTTTCACTTAATAATTTCAAGAAAGAGGCATTGAAAATGCACTTTTTCAAGAAAAATATTTAAATAACTAATTTTTATTTCAATTCGTGTTCATTCGTCATTGAGAAAAAATATTCCTGTATTCAAATACATGAACAAATACCTTACACTGTTAAATAGCAATATAAATGGGATAAACAAATAAATTTAATTCCAGAAAATGATCAGGTTAGATTTATGTATATTCGTTTATTGTGTCCAGCAAATTAATTATAATTGTAACTTAGATTAATTCAAATTTGTGACTTATATCAGATGATTATAACACTGATAAAATACCTTCATAATTCTTGCCAACTGAATAAAAAGTAATTTGTTATAAATTTTGATTTACAAAGGAACTACATGTAAGTGTATATCTAAAAGAAAGTAGTTGTTCGACCAACATTTTCTTAATTTAAGGGAAATTTTATGGTATTTTCTTAATTTAATAACATTAATATGTCAAAAGTCGTCAGTAGATGATTAAAATTGTGTATACTGTTTCTATCATAAAAACACCTAATTGGTTTTATGAGATTTCTTAAACTTAGAATTCTGCACCATCTCAAAATCCAGAGTGATCACATAGATCCAGCTTGGCTGAATAAAAAATTATGTACTTCATGTAAAAAACAATAAAAAAGTTTCAAAAATACCTGGGTTATAAATAAATTATATTCCTGTGTCTTACCATGTAAACAACAATGATGCCATAACCTCTTCCTGCAAATCATTATTAATATAACTGCAATAATTATTGAAGCGGGAACAATCCCAATCACCATATATACCCAATTCTCTGTATCATCTGAAATTAACAAATGTTTAACATGTTTAATCCCCATATAAGAAGTATTCCAGGGCGGATCCAGCCATTTTAAAAAGGGGGGGTTCTCAACCCAGGATAAAGGGGGGGTTCCAACTATATGTCCCCATTCAAATGCATTGATCATCCAAAAAAAAGGGGGGGTTCCAACCCCCGGAACCCCCCTCTGGATCCGCCACTGTATTCTTTACTAATTTTTTTATGTAAATTTTCATGATTATTGTATCTGTTGACATAGATTTATTTGGCCTTTTTAACTTTTTTGATTCAAGCGTCACTGATGAGTCTTTTGTAGATGAAACGCATGCCTGTAGTACAAAATTTTATCCTTGTATCTATGATGAGTTTACTGCCACATTAATAGAGTAATATTAAAGTTCACAACAACAGGGGTTCAAATTGGTGGTGGTTCAAATAAGTGGTGGTCCGAGGTCTGTGACCTTTCATTTACGGGTTCGGACCATCCTGCTGGTAGTTAGTTACACCTGGTGGACAGTCATATTTTTGCAGGTTAAAAAAACTTCACAAGCATTTTGAACAAAAAATGTAAAAATTTAGTAACTTGTGTGTTTGCTTAAATTCTTTACAATTGATTTGAAGTGCAGTCACGAGACAGGTTTTCGTACAAGATACCGGGAGACTGAAGAATTATCTAATATTCAAACATAACTAGTAAACGGTATGAGTCTTTTTGGTTTTGGGGTGACCTCTTCCAAAAGAAAACCAAAAATATGATAGGGAAAAGAGAAAACGTAAATTTTTTCCATAATGGATTGTTAAACGTCCTTGGCTGGATTTCAATAATTCAACTGGTTTATCCCACACACAGTGAAAGAGAAATTGAACTGGTTCGTTGGACAAAAAACTCAAAACTTGACCCAATAAAAAAATCATGAAACTACCTCCAAGCAATTATCTTGCTTAAAACTAGTGTTTAAAAGAAACGTACCCAAGTTTGAAAACAAAGTCGAGCTGTTATCTAACACAAAGTTGGGCCACTATGTTCTTAAGCTGTGATTGAAACGAGAACAATGTACAAAGTGTAATTTTTCACAGCATATAGTGTTGGGATAAAGGAAAAGTCTTTTCTGAATGAATTTCTTTGAGAAATTCTGAAAATAAACTGTTGACACAGAGATATGTCTCACCTGTCGGCATAAAATTCAGAAAAAGACAATCTGATGGACAGCAACATTGCTAATTAATTCAAAGTCGCTGGACCAACCAGTTGGTAGGGCCTTGAAATGGTTGACCAACTGAGATGTACAGACATCAATGTAACTTTATAACTGTCTATTGTAAGTAGTTCCTATCAAACTAACTTTATCATAAAACTTAACATTGAAAACTGTTAATTGATTGAAAGTCACTGGACCATGACCTAGGTGCAGGGCCTTAAAATAGTTGTAAAACTGATAGGTACTGATAGGAATGCAACTTCATACAAAATATCATTGATCTATCACCAGTAGTTCCTATCAATCTAACTTAAGCAGAAAACTTAACATTTAAAATGGCAAATTAATTCAGTCACTGGACCATGGCCTAGGGGCAGGGCCTCAAAATTGTGGCCAACTGATATGTACTGATAATAATGCAACTTCACATAAAATATCATTGATTTATCACAAGTACTTCCTATCAAACGAACTTAAGCAGAAAACTTAACAATGAAAATGGCTAATTAAATCAGTCACTGGACCATTGCCTAGGGGAAAGCAATCCCTATATCTCGCTTTGCAGGCGACACAAAAATGAGGTTGATGTAGTAAGATATGACGAGTGCTTTGGAATGGTAAGCATATTCTGATTTTACAAATTGATTTTCAATTAAATTGGACCTTTTAGTATTTTTGGTCAAAGGTCCTGGACCTTCCATTGCCTTAAGTAAATTTGAACCCCTGCAACAAACATGCAGTAAGATTAAGTAAATAAATTATTCATAAATTGCATACTGTAAATTCAGAAACTATTGCAAGGTTTTTATTAATGTGAGTATTGCGACCACTTCAGTATTGCAATAATAAGAACACGCATTCTGATATCAAATGCATATATCTGTTTTTAGCTTTTCATTAAATTGTAATAATTAAACTGGCATGTTTGTTCATTCTACAGAAATCGCAATAATAAATGCACAATACAATTTCTGAATTTACAGTATTTATAACTAAATGAAGTTGACATTGAGTCATAGTATTAACAAACCAATCAACATTTAATGAGGATAATTTGTAGAGGGTCTTCAAGTCATCAATGCCCTTAAGGATGTAGTCATGTCAGGTTTAGGAATTTTTGTCAGATGTTCGGACTCTACAATACAGGGTAAAATATTTTGCCCCATATCACCCACTTTTGTTTTCTTATAAAACTTCAATAGCTCATAAAAGGTCATTTAACAAAACTAAAGCAGATTCTAGATTTCTTTTCTTATGATTTGAGACACTAATAATACCAATGCTAAATATAAGGTAAAAGTCTGAGTCAGCCTTTTCCCGCAACTTAAAATAAAAATTAAATAGCTCGAAAAGAAGTTCCATAAACTATCAATATTTTTAGCTTATTTTGTTCCTTAACTAATGTTCTTCTGATTTAAAGTATCAATTTTATATTCCAGATTTTTTTTCCTTAAGTTGCCGTGTAGTTTTAGAGATTTTCTAATATTGTCTGATTAGAAGTTTGCCTCCCATAGCTTTATATCATCAAATTGAAATGTAATAATGATTATTTGTAGAGGACCTTCCTTTTACATCATTCCTGCCAAGCTTGGTAAGTTGTCTAAGAGAGGAATATGAAACTGTGAAGTATATGAATGACAAAGTATGCACAATAATGGCAATATATCACATACCTCTGCTGGTTAAGTGATCTTATAAGTACATCTGTAATATCATAAAGGGAATCAAAACTATTTAACCATGGATGATGTTAAAACAATTCTTATCAATATCATTCAAGAAAAGTTTCTTAACTTCATATACCTTAACTTTATACCTTCGTTTTTGTCTCGACAGTAAACAAATTTTGGTTGGTTGTCCCATGTTTTTTTCTCTCCACACCTATATGACTTAGCACCAGGATTAACTAGAACCATACTGTCTTTAGTACACCTAGGGTTACATGTTGTATAAACACTAACATTGAGGGATGTGAATACATTGTCACAGGTCCATTCTACATGACTAACATGACTTTTATTTGGCAGGACACATCCTGTAAACAATAGGCATTTTTTGTATATTTGAATGCTTGAAAAAGTTGTATTATATTAAATGTTTAAAATGTTTGCTTATGTGTTACAGATGTTAATATATCAAAATTACTGTACTGAAAATCAAATTAATAAAATAAACCAAAATAATCAAGCAGCCGTGAAAAGTGTCTGTAAAAATGGATAATGCAAAACGAATAATGAAAAAACAAGCATTCTGTGAGTATTGCATGGCAATACATAGTCCACTACCGGTTACAAATTAATTGTAATGGAATGAAATTCTAACTTGATCTATTACTTGTCATGGTGTAAACTACATAAAAATATCAAGTCAAAATCTTCAAGCATGACGAAAAAAACTGTTGAAAACTGATTATTTAAGTGAATTTTCTATGTCCAAAGATCATAACTCTGCACAAATTATCAGACTGGAACAAAATTCCAACTTGATCTGTAACTTGTCATGATAAAACTATATACTAATTATCAAATCAATATCTTCAAGAATGACAAACAAACCTACCTCTAAATTCTTCAAACAATTTACCAAAGAAAAGGAAAAAAATCCAAAATGTCATTTTGTCTTTTAAAAAATGAGTTATTTCCCTTTGAACAGAATTCTACTAGTTAATAAGTATTTCATCAAAAACTGAATTCTAGGGAAAGGGCTTTAACTGAACAAAGAGAAAAGCTAAAATCGTGAAAATTTAACTTGGCCTGTAACTTGTCATGATAAATCAATAAACCAAATATCAAATCAATATCTTCAAGCACGAAGAAAAAAGTCTGGAAAACTGATTTTCGGACTGACAGATGGACAGACAGACGGACAGACAGACAGACAAACAGACGGACTGAGTGCAAACCTAAAGTCCGCTTCGACTTCGTCGGTAGGGGACTAACAAAACAAAATGGGCCACACTGCTAATCATTATGCAGAGTTTTATACTTTTCCTGTACTTAAATCCATTGCTGTATGTGAGATCACAACATTCATGGTGGCTTCACCATTGCTCTTTGCACTCAGAGAATTATAAGATAATATCATGATAACATACAATGTACAATAGTTAAGATCTTGAATCTGATGAAATTCTGAGGATTCATTATAATTCTCAGTTCACTATAAATCATAGATTACATCCAGTGGCCATGTTTTCCATCATACTGGCACCAAATAAAAAAATCCCTTATAGATACTTTTCAATACACCATACCTAATAAGTTTGGTTTAAATATGCCAAGTATTTTCAGAAAAGTAAAAAAAATCAATTTGAAGCTGAAAATCTGAAAATAAATCTGGTAACCTTATATCTAAATCTTGATTACAACATTTACCTATAAACTCAGGCTTCAGTCCCATCTTGTGTTCACATATACAGAAAGGGTACTTTCCTGTTTGTATTATTTCATCTTCTGATGGATTACAAAAATCACCATCTTTATCATCGTATCTTTGAAAAGCGTCATTATATTTGTCAGAACTCACTGCTTCAATAGGACAATAACAACATACTCTATGGATCTGTGCTGCTGTGTCAAACCAACGACTACAAAATAAATTAGAGAGAGGTATTAACTGATAAACATACAAAAACATAGATCCATAAGTGAATTATAATACCTTTAGTACAACTTTTGTTATTAAAATGTGCGAAATATATAAGGGCTTTACAGATCAATCTTATTGAAATTCAGGCCATGTGTCTACTCCTTTTTTAAAACAAACAAAAATGGATTCACTTATAAAGGTTTAAGAAAATAAACATTTGGTCAGTGTTGTTGTTATTCCTTAATTCATACTGAATTGCTCTCTTAATTGTCTTTTTTTTTGTAATATTGTTTAATACACAAAAATTTCTCTTAAAACTAGTTCACTTGCAATTTTTGTACTTTTAAATTTACTGTGCTTTTCTGAATGAAGACAGAAATCTAACTGTTACCTTGCAATTAGCCTGTGAAATTACTTGTTTTATCTATCCAAAAACTTGCTATCAACTTTAAATTGATATAATTTTATCCACACTTTATTGTTTATACTGTTTTGAAATTCTTATCTTCTTTTATGTTTACTGTAGAGAGTTATGATGCATTTTCTACATTATACTTGTTAAAGCTCTATAACAGTATATGGTATTAATAATTGACATGTATTCTGTCCTTTTTATTGTTTGTGAAAAAAGTATGTTGTATATTGCAGACCTTACCAACTTTCAGGATTTATGGGGGAATTTCCCCCATGAGAGGTGTTGATCTGAATTTTGATTATATAAACTGAACACCTCAAAACAGGCTTTCAAAGGAGATAAAAGGGTATCTTAAAGCATATGCATACTCATTCAAACAATATAGTAGTAGATTAAAAACACTTCTGTCAATATAAGAAGAGCATTAAGTCCTCTTGCTCTTAAAATCCCCCTTGGAGATTTTGAAAAGTTGGCAGGTATGATATTGACAATTAAAGTACGTACTCAATTTGTGATAAAAGAAACTTACTATTTTCCTGTTTCACCATTTGTCAAATTGTATTCAGCTGATGAAAGGGAGATAATCCAAAGAAATAAAATGACTATGGAATATACTGAAGTGGTTGTGAACTGAAAGAGAATGATATAATTACTTTAAAATCAAGAAGTTATAAAGCTTTTAATGTTTCACTGTGAATAGTTGGTAGTTTTCAAGTCTGTTTTTGCAGCAAAGTTACAGGCAGTAAGATTATACGAAAAAATCAAATAACATCAAAATTTATGTAACATTGCTATATTGAATATATATAATAAATATTCAAAAGATATGATATTTCAATAATGAAAACACAAGCATGATTTGTCAGTCATCATTATATATATTATCTACATTCAATGGCCACGAAGGTCAGCCAGAACAAAACACAAGCTGGAATTGTCAGTCATTATACACACTAGAAAAGCAACATGGTTTATTAATTCAGTCACTGGACAATGATCTTGTGGGCAGGGCCTACAAATGGTCAACAAACTGAGATGTACTGATAGTAATGCAACTTTATACAAAATATCATTGACAAGTAGTTCTTATCAAACTGACTTAAGCAGAAAACTTAACATTGAAAATTGATTTTTAATTCAAAATCACCAGACCATGACCTAGGGGGCAGGGCCTCGAAATAGTTGTCAAACTGATATGAACTGATAGAAGTGATAGTAATGGAACTTCATACAAAATATCATTGATCTATCACAGGTAGATCCTATCAAACTAACTTAAGCAGAAAACTTAACATTGAAAATTGCTAATTAATTCAAAGTCACTTGACCATGTCCTAAAGGGCAGGGCCTCAAAATAGTCGTCTGTTATATATGTACCGATTGTATTGCAATTTTATTTCAAATATCAATGATCTATCACAAGTAGTTCCTATCAAACTTGAAGTTGAGCAGAATACTTAACATTGAAATTTGCTAGTTAATTCAAAGTCGCTAGACCATGACCTAGGGGGCAGGGCCTCAAAATAGTTGTCAAACTGATATATGTACTGATAGCAATGCAACTTTATCAGGGAATAAGACTAACATTTTCCAACTAGGGGCCCAACGAACCTGCCACAATGTGAAAATTAACATAAGCACTATGGGCATTTTGATAAAAAATTTAGGGGCCCAACCCAAATTTTACTAACATTGGCTACTGGGCCCCTGCTAATCTTTTTCCCTGTTTATGTTAAATATCAATGACTTATCACAAGTTTGTTCCTATCAAACTAACTTAAGCAGAAAACTTAACAATTGTTGATGCCGTCATCCCCGCAGCCGTCAAAGCTATTCCTATGTCTCGCTTTCCTCGACTTTCGTCGCCGCGGAGACAAAATCTCAGCTCTCATTCTCAAAATCTACAGCCACAATAAAAAAAAGAAAATTTTTTAAATAAAAATTAAAGGGATTCATTTTTATAGTTAACTTTTAACTACATGTATGATTATACTACATGTCAACCATTCTGATGGATGGATGGATGGTTGTTTTAACATACAGTGGCAAATTAAATGCATATTCAATATGTTCAAGACAAGAACATGTTAATGTGATATGAATATGAACCCTGCTTTGTACAAGACTGGCCCACTGTGTCAGATTATCAAAGTGTTAGTTCAAAGGTAACAGTCAGCAGGAAGACAAGTCACCCTCCTTGGACACATTATTTTGACTCCTGGCTGACCAGTCTCTTACATCTAAATATCGTGTGCCTAGTGGAGGGGCAGCAAATACCTATTTTAAAGTATTTGGTTTGACCAGGTTTGAAATCAAACCCACAACTTCACACACTCAAGGCAAGCACACTACCACAACTGACACAAGACCACTGTGATGGTTAACCATTGTGAAAAGCTACTACATCAGTGTAACTCATTGTTATAGAAATTAGGTCTTAGCTGAAAACACCAGTCAACAGTTGACAGTAGTAAAGGCAAAATCATTAAATTAAATATTTTTTAAAATCTCATTTAGAGAGTGGTAACATAACAGAATGTTAATTTACTAGGACTACAGTTTAGGATATATGAAAATAATTATATTAAATCCTTCCTAAGCCGCATTTTTGGTGTGAGTTTGTATAACCCAAAGTTTTAGTTTAAAATATTCCAGCTATATATGTATAACAAAGTCAATTTAATAAGTACCTTTCGTTTGCATGTTAATAAATAATGCATGAATGAAGCTATACACATACTTCACATGTGATTTCTAATGATTGTATTGAAAATATTGTTTACTACTAAGTACATGAAGTATAGGGCATGAGATATAATGGAAGACAGCTAGTGCAAATCCCACGCACAATTTTTGAGGAGACAGTAATTGTTACAAGAATTTAGGTTACTTCCAGTCATATGACAATAATAAAGACTAATGAATTTAAATATATACTTACATTATGTACATAGTCTGAGGTTACCATTATCATACATCTTTTCTTTGAAGACTTATAAACATATCATATACAAAACTTTCATGTCTGCACCATATAGTATACACAAATTCTGAAAACATAATGTCATCTGAACAAAGGCCTTTTAAAAAACACGGAAAAATTAACTAACTATCTATGAAAAGTTTGTAAACATTTAACATGTTTAATGACATATTGAGTTTTATTTGCACTGTAAAAAATTGTTTTGTTCAAGTTGTCAAAGTACAATATGGATTTTATGAAAACATCTTCAACATGTTCAATTTTTATGAACTGGTCGTGAATATTTTACAACGAAACATTAAACGTTATTTACATTTGTACCATAAGGAAGATTAAGTGCACAAAAAATATTCCCATACAAATTGTTCATTCTAATTGTTTCTCTAAAACTTATAGCCATCATGGAACCTACACACTTACATGTGAATTCCAAGTACAATGGTTCATATATGTTTCTATCCTGTACATTTATGTATAACAATGAAAATATTACTCATGTTGTAATCTGAGTACAAATGTACTACATGTGTAGTAATCAGTTTCAATAAAGCTCATCAATATACACAATTTTTCTTCTGATTTATTTTACATGATGATTTCACAATTGCAGATTTCAGATTTCTTGTTAAATCATACATTATAAAGAGTATCATATATCATACATTACTTGTTTGACTATTTTGAAACCGTTTTCCTTATGTTGTTCAATATAATATATACAAATTCTAGATGAAGTCTTTGATTAGTATCTTATATAGAGAATAATACATGGCAAATTCCGTATCACATGCCGTATCATCCCGAGATACCAATATCAGCCCGAGAGCCTTTAGGCCCTAGGGATGATATTGGTCGAGGGTGATACGGCATGTGATATGGATTTTGCCATGTTTTACACGCTTTATCATACATGTATATTTAAACAGGAGAGTATATAGGAACTGTATAGAATACGAACGAAAAATCGGAGTATGGGTGCGATAAAGGGTTGTGATAAAGGGTAGACATGCGATAAAGGCGTGTGATAAAGGGTGCGCATCAAAGATGAGCGATACAGATTAAACAGCAGGCTATTTATTAAATATTCATAACTACTGTATTTACTACTAAATATATGATATATAAATATTACAAACCATCAAAAGAAAAGATAACAAGGGGACAATTGTAATTAAAAAAACAAATCCAGACAATATCATTGCAAAAAGAACCTCCAACAGCCCAACAGTCCTTTAAAAACACATAGAAAAACCAAAGATTGAGGAGCATGATTCCCCATGTAAGACAAGGGCTGAACTCAGGTGCTTCAGTGCATATGATTAAGAATGAGATATATAATTGAAACTGAATGTACAACTAATGGACATTTCCTAAAATACCTTCCTCTCACAACATGCTCAAGTTTTAATTTAAGTCTTCCTAGAAAAATAACTTACACATGTAATGAATGATATCTACACCTATAAGGTACTAATGCAACCTTACAGCATAAGAAAATCAAAGTCAATAAAATAGCAATATTTATTTCTACTTGTATATCTCAGAGCTCAGACCCCAATGGCCAACTTAATTTTTTGTTCTGCTATGTTTGAAGTCCTGAATTGTTTTGCCATGGTAAATCCCTTAGTCATTCAGATAAAAAAGAAAATTGAAGATTTACATCCAGACACCCACAATACTTTGTGATAAGTGAGTGGAATTGGGATCAATATACATGAACAAGTCATATTTTCTTTACTTTTATGACCTATTTTTGCTCAGAGGAATTTTTATCAAAAATCTCTGAAAGGGTTTCAATTTCACCCAAACTTAATTACCTTTCAACCTGAGAATAGTATATTATGTCCCAGCTTTTACCTCCTACTCTTTTGTTATAGGAATTTAAATGTGTATGTCATGATTTGTAAACAGTAATGCATACATATAGTAAACAATTATTATAATTCAACAGTGGAAAAATAGATTTAAACTTCCTTCTATCCGGAAAGACATTGGTCGATATTTATTTGAATAAAATAATTCCTTCTTCTTTAAAAAAGCTTATAAGGAAGTCAAAAGCAATTTACAAAATTTTGCAATAATTTTGTTGTTCTTGTAATCATGGTAATTTACCATTCATCTGAAATCTAAAAAAAATTCCCCTAAAGTTTGAAATAGTTTCAGGTAACTGGATCAAATAAAACTTATTTCAGAAATCTAATTGAGATATTTTGGGGAAATTTGTAGTAACATTACCTTTCCTTTTGGTTTTAATTATTTCCACTAATAAAGTATGATTCCTGGAGATGAAGATATGCAATATTGATTTTGATTCTCTTCACAGGTTCATAAAATAAATATCTGGTATTATAAGTATATTGAATTTACGTGTACATTTGTACTCTTTTCTTCTTGGAAATTGTCATATACATGTATTCAAACAAACGTACAATTGCTCCCTGGCATGTGCTGACTTGTTAAATTCATTTAATGTGGAATTTCACATAATTTCTCAAATGTAAATAAATTTGTGGAAGTTGTCTTCAGTCAGCTTCTCTTTCAATTTCTTTTTTAATCCTTTCAAATTGAATTAACAATTATATAAAATAGTTCTTTATCATACAATGTAGTATAAATGTGCAAAAAACAAGGTTAGGCAGTAAATTACCACCCCTGGAATTTACCAACCTCTAGTGCTCAATACTGGTATATTCTGAAATCTTTATGCTTCTTTCTAACATATCAACTGTTAATTCTTAGACTATATAGCTAGTAAAACATTGGTAGATGGGGGAAATTATTTATTAAACTGTAATCCTTTTGCATGATTCATAATTCAGTTTTTAAAAATAATTATATTGGTATTTTTTTTTTAATGCTGTATTTCATAATTGCATCCAATATATATAAAAAAAAGGATATATGGTATGATTGCCAATGAGACAACTAACCATGAGAGTTCAAATGAAGTGGATATATTATAAGCAATTATAGGTCACAGTTCCGTCTTCAACAATTAGAAAAACCCATACCATATAGTCAGCTATAAAAGACTCTGACATGAAAAATGTGAAACAATTCAAATGAGAAAATTAACATGATTAACAGCCTAATTTATAACAAAATAATTTACGAAATACAAACAAAACAGGCATGAACCAATGGCAACCACTCAACTACAGGCTCCTGACTTGGGACAGGCACATAAAAAATGTGGTGGGTTAGACATGTTTGTGAGCGCTAATCCTCCCCCTTAGTTGGGACAGCGGTGAAGCAGCACAACATAATAACAAACTTTAAAAATCAGTTGCAATTGGCTTAACTCAAAAGATTGGTACGTAGCAAAAAATAACTACATAAAAACCATAGATACAAAGCACCAATATAAGAGTACTTGCAGTTACTGAAAGCTAGTTCAAAGCCAATGACAACTAATAAATGAACCATTTTCTCCCAGTTTAAAGTGTCAATCAGTATACATCCAACAGATTTAGTGCAGGGACGTCATAAACAATCTGAATAACACATGACCATGTGTGTACACTACCAAAATATAAGTCAACAGTATCAACAAAATGTAGCTATAGGTCATGAGTCACATTGTTATATTTCATTTGCGCCAAAAATCAAAACCTTATTTTGCACCATTTTTCAGCTAACATAAACAATGATAAATAAAGATTAAAGGTTCAATCTAAGTTGTAGCTCAAATACTACTTATAATTATATAGGCTCTCATATTAAATGTTGTAGAGTATCCTCTGAGAATTAAAGTTAGTTTATACTCATTACTGAATATGTCACCTAGGTATAGAATTGTATAGTGCTGACATGTTCAATGCGACAAAATGGCCATAATTCATATAATTCATTCTAAGACAAACAAGAGGCATTAAGTCCATATATTTTTTACAATACAAACAGATTATCCATTGTAATGAAAAATAGAGAAAACTCGATAAAGATGCAAAGAAAAATCAGTATAATATTAAAGTGGGTACACACATAATTTTAATGATGCAGGCTGTAGAAATTGTGTTTTAACTTTATTACTCAAATTTTACACATACATGTATCCTGATTAAAACCGACTTCCACCTCCCTGTAGTGACTAGCCATGCTAGCCGTAACGTTAAGTTTATACAAGTCAATAATCAATGATACTGTGGATTCATTATTATTCGTTGGATACTTATTTTCATGGATTTCATTGGTACAGGTAAACCATGAAATTAAGTGTTCAATGAATTACAAATTTTCTATAAGGTTATATGCAGATTTTGGCAAAACCACGAAATCAAGTATCCACGAAAATGCAAGTTTTCCTCAATCCAAGAAAATAAATGAATCCACAGTAATATAAACTCAATAGTAAAAACATTATATTACTGTTATAATACAATTACCTGCAGGTATAAATGGCACAAATGAAACATTTTATTTTAAAATAAGAGTGCTACACTGAAATGTCTCACCTGCTTTACTAACCATTGATTTTATGCCGAAAGTCTTAAAGATGCATGTATAGGTTTTACTAAAAGTATCACATAAACTTAACATTTTTACATATATCTATGACAATGAGGTATTTATAAAAGGTCACATAAATCCTGTCAGACAGTCATATACATGTACACCTTACAATTTTTTTATACACCAAATATAGTTGACTTATTGCTTCTGGTAATTGAAATACAGACTTAACATTGACCAATGAACCATGAACATGGGGTCAAGGTCAGATTATACCTGCCAGACAGACATGTACACCTAACAGTTATTTCATACACCAAATATAGCTGACCTATTACTATTAGTATTTGAAAAACAGACCAAAACACAAAAACTTAACATTGACCAATGAACCCTAAAAATGAGGTTAAGGTGAGATGATACCTGCCAGACAGACATGTACAGCTCACAATCATTCCATACACCAAATTTAGCTGACCTATTGTTTATAGTACTTGAAAAACAGACCAAAGCACAAAAACTTTAATTGACCAATGGACCATGAAAATGAGGTCAAGGTCAGATGAAACCAGCCAGACTGACATGTACATGTACCCATTACAATCATTCCATACACCACATATAGTTGACCTAATGCTTATAGTATTTGAAAAATGGATCTTATCACGCAACTTTAACCTTGACTGATCCATGAAATGCAGTTGAGGTCAGCTGAACCCTGTCTGACGGATATGTAGATGTTGCAAGGAACCAAATACCAAATATAGTTATCCTATTACTCATAATAAGTGAGAAATTCACATGACAAAAAAAAACATAATTTTTTTCCAAGCAGTCGCTGAGCCATGAAAATGAGGTCGGACAATGGATATATGACAGAGGGAAAATTCGTAACATTAGGTATCTGCATACAAGATATGAAGCATCCAGGTCTTCTACATTGTACCTTCTCAAATATAAAGTGTTATACAAATAGTTTACATCGCCGCTGCCTCCGAATAGTAATATTTAAGTCTCACATACTGAAACTTTCATTATGGCAAGACATAACATGATGGTTTTGTATGCCTGGCAGACAAGTGTTTCTTCTACAAAATACATCAGTAATGCTTAATTCAAAAAGTTAAAGGGTCAAATAAATTACTAAAATGAAGAGCATTTAGGACCAAAAATACTAAAAGGATTGGCCAAATGTAGGTAAAATATTTTATCAAAACTTAAACAATAACCTTAGAAATTTTTAAGCCATAGATTTTCCTGACAGCAATCTTGTTAGTTATTTACATTTCCAACCTATGAAATGTGACTCTTACTTTATTTAATCTATTCAATGAATATAAATCCCTTAATCAGATCCCACAGTGACCTTGGAATATTAACAATTGAATTGTGGTACAGTACGTCATAGATGGCTAGAAAACCATATTTGAACAATAATTTTGAAACGGACATTACAAAATTTCAAGTAGTCCCTCCTTTGATACACGCTTACAATATCATTTACCTTTAGATAGATTAAATCCTTTTGAACACCTCTGTGCTGATGGAATAATAAAATTGAGAATGGAAACAACTCGACCAAAGAGCAGAAAAAAGCATATATACAAACATGGAGAGGGGTGAGGGGTTCAATTTAGCCATGCCTCAAAATCAGTAACTGATTACATATTGTACTATGTTCCTTGTGAGTCCATTTAATGGAAATAAAACATCTTCCTAGAATAACATTATGTGAATGATATCTGATTTTATAAACAGTGCGCACATTATATTTGTCATTAACCTAGAGGATATCCAGTCAAGTATTTACTGGGAAGAGAAGAGTTACCTTCCTGTAGTTGAAGTATCTCTAAGGGGCTCTTAAGCAGAAAAAAATAAATGTGCAGTGAAGAGCTTTTGCTGAATCAAAGTACAAATTTTTTAACATCATCTAAAATTGTCATACATGTACATGTACAGGTAGATGGTTCCTCATCTTTTTTTTAAAACTTCAAACTTTTCATTAACAGAAACCTAATCTTTGCTGCAAACATACTGCATATTTCATAGACTTTTACATGTACCATGCAAATGAAGATTGTGATAAACTTGCTGCAAACTTTTGATCGCCTTATACACAGTTTGCAGTCATTTTCTGCATGGTGACGATTTGAAGTATTTGTTAAATTTGTAGTGAATTTCATGACTTAAATATTCAAATGATGCCTTGCACATGTTGCAGCAATCTTTTAGCAAAATCCATTTTAAGGTACATGTAGATAGGGTGTCTTCCTCCATCTTGGATTTTGAAATACCAGAAAACAATCGGTCTAGATCTTTAATAAAATGTGCAAATTTCGAGAGTAGTAGGCAATTCAGGTAAAAAAAATTTCATTTCAATATAGAAAATGGCATGTTTTATCATATTTATGGTTGCATTTTACAAAAAACTGAATACTTTTGTTTGATTCAATTTTTTCCAACTTTTCCACATAAGGGGAGGCAACTCAAATGTAAGGGCAGATAAAGTTACTTTTTCAATAGAATGTGTTAGGAATTTAACTATTTTATTATGTAGCAAGAAAACGAGTCCCGTGACCCCATTTTTTCTTTTTCTTATCTGAAAGCATAGTATTAAGAGCTATCTTCTCATATTTTATCTCAAAATTCTATGGAGTAGTTTTTGTTTTTTTCATTTTTGGCAGATAATTTGGTTTTCCATGCATAATCTATACAAAATCTGTCAATTTTGCATAACCTGTAGCGTAAATATAAGCCCCGTGACCCATTCTTTTTATTATTTTTCTTAAAAAGCATGATACAAACTACATTTTGGAAAATTATTAAAAAATTCTATGGATTATAATTTAGACACCCCATCTACCATGTCTACCTTAAAGCAGTCTTTTACATAATTTCCAGTGATATGATAAAAAAGAAAACAATGAATATTGACCGCAAAAAAATTAGGAAATTGCTGTATACAAATGGTATAAATATATATTCATCCAACTTAATTACACTGCATTTAAGATGATAAATGGGTATACAATGTATCCCTATTACATTGTATTAACTGATTAATGGATCTTGTAAACATGAAAAATGGGTATCAATTTATGAACAGTGATAAAAAATGGAACTTTGGATATAAGGATATTTCTGTCTTTGCTCAATCATGTGTAAAACTAAAAGGCAACATTTTTTTTTCAAATACACCAATAACCATTACTGAAATATATCTTATCATCTTGGCGTCACATCAAAAAGTGACCCTTGTATAATATATCCCGTCGGATCGCTCGGTACTGTACTTGTATCCTCACAACAGGAAGGGGAAACCCCTATATAGTTCTATAGGGCAATTACAGAATATTTCATTTGAGGAATAATATATATATAAACAAATAATTCTTACGTTTTCCAACTGGCAAAACATATCCAGCATGTTTGTGGACAAGAAGAACCTGGTCGATGTTAAGTTTCCGGTCTGATGTTATCGAGGCTGTTATGCCTTATGGCTGTTCTCTTGCTCCTTGACAGTTTCTCAAAAGTTATGTACATTGATCACATCTAGAACTTCACAAGTGGTTTTTCTTTTTCTGAGCTCTATTAGGTTTTCAATATGTTTCAGATGACGGTTACACAATTTATTGAGTAAATTTCTGTCAAACGTATACCTTGTGTTTCATAGTTGAAAGTTTTCAATACTCAGAGTTTCAATATGATATTTCAGTGTAATAAATGTCACAAATTATGTCCGCAAATTGTTTAAAAAAAGGCAACATTCATAATTCAGTATGTCACTATCTGTGGAATATTTCAATGATATGCCAGCTTTAGCTGGCACTTATGGTAGAAGCATCGAATTGGAATAAAGAACGATAACTCTCTCTACATGATCAATCTAAAAAGTTTCGTCACTCTCGTTAAATCTCGTACGATTTTTTTTAAATTTTTTTCGAAGTTGATCAAGTCAAGTTATCTAACTCTTAAAATTTCTTTTTTCTTTTTTTTTTCATTATATTTATTAAATAAATATTGTATTCTTGCTTGGCTACAAATATAAAGTCAATTCTTCAAATAATGAAAACGAAATTAGCATTGGAATATCCGTCAGGACATTTTCAGGACATTAGTTTAACCCTTATTTTTTAATGGCTGTCAGATTCTCGTTTAATCGCGATCTTGAAAAAACGGGACAAAACGGAATAAATTCGATGTTTAATACGACAAGAATTTTTATTTGTTTACAAAAACAAGAATTTAGAAATTTTAGTAACCTGTGTAGTTTATTTAAATTTTATTGTGCCACGGAAATAACCGAAGTTTAGACAACAACATCTTACGCCATGTTTTATCGTCTGCTTCATCTTTCCATTATCAGTGACAAATTTCCTAAATATTAATAACCACAGGTACTTCATTTAAAAAATACAATATCATAATTTATGATAACATTTGTAGTGTAAAAGTTCCGTCCAGCCATGGGAACACAGAAAAACCCTCTGCAAGCAATAAATTTCGGGAGAAACGTAGCCGGAGGAAGTAAAATCCGGTGCTCTGCCTCTGGTTGACCATGACCACTATTATTTATCTGCTACAGAATTTCCCATATCAAGTTACAGTGATAATGAAGTTGGTTAAATGTGATCACGGTTTTTCCTGTAGCTCACAGACAAATACAGGTGAAATTCAAAACTTAACAAAAGTTTTAAACAAAGAAAATATATTCAAATTCACTATCTGTAGACTGTACTTCCTTTGACAAACTCTCAACAAATCTTGCCATTAATTATGACACATATCTACCTTAAACAGTCCCAGGAGTTTCATCATAAATTAAAACAGCTGTAAAAGGAGACTTGAGTTTGAGTCAGAGTGATACATTTATAGGTACATATATATTGTATGCACCCATATTGTCCAAAATAGGATTTTATGGGAAGATGGAGTTATAATAACCCATGATAATACCATGACTTTTGATAGGTATAGAGCATGTTACTTGGAAGTATGTGGGCTACATCCTTTGAAATTCAAGCTGCCGACACATTATTTGGATGCAATATAAATAATTGCCTCCCGCAGTCGCCTGTATATTTTATGCGTCAGTTTAAACCTGATCAAAACATTTTCCCTCTACTGAATACTTTTATCAGGTGCACATTTCAACCTATTAAAGCAATAAACACTTATGGCTATAACGTCACAGTTCCCAAATTGCACCGAGTACCCAATTTGCACCTATTCAACAAAAATAATAACTGCGGAAATCTTACAAGTTTTCTTTGAGACTAAACAATTTGTATTGTTATGATTTGACATACATGTCTTTTAATATCGGTTAATATATTTAGATATACACAAATCGTTCACAATGAGAATATATCAACAGATGAAGCATTCCCGGGAAAAAGTAAATCTACGAAAACGTCAGTGTCGTCACCATGCAAAGTTATCTAATTATCATCTTTTTAAAATGTTAGCAATTTCACAACTACAATTTAATTTTCATGACCAAAATAAAATAAAGTACAAACAAAAAAGCAATAAAATGCTTCGCCAAGCACAGCCTGTCAGATACAACCACAGATGTAGATTTAGCATATAAAAAACACCAAAAATTTTATGTCAATTGAAATCAAACATATTTTAATTTTGGACCCTTCAAACTTTAATATGGACTAATTTGAAAACGGGTATCATGTGAGCCCGAACATTTCTATTCAGCAGCAGTCTCCAAGTACATATCTCCTTAATTTTAAATGATAGTCCCACAAAAATGTTGAAAATGTGTACATTTAATTTTTTTTCTAGATTCTCTCATGTCATACATGTGAAAGCAGTACCTTTTTGGTCACTATTTATGTGTTGCGTCTAAATATGAATTGTAACACTTTATAGTGACTGACCAGGTCAAACAAATACTTCTCAAGAAACATGCAGAGAAGAAGACAACTTGAACAGCACCAGCCATGCCAGACTATGTATGAATAAAAACTCAGATCGGAATAGCATGGACGATATGTTAGTTATATGTCCTAGTGAATTGTAAGGGAAGCTATCAATAATTCTGCAGATAACGCAATTTTATCACTGAGGTTTATTGTACATTTTCTGTTCAAATTTTCACACAATCAGTGAATCGTTCAAAAAGGCTAAACTAACTTTTTATTACCAGCTGATTACTAAAAGTTTCAAACAATGACAAGTGTTTCATTCATGAAATAACTTGTGCGTTTCTGCGAAAAAAATCATATGCAATTTTATGAATTAAAGGGAAAGAAGATCCTTTTGCGGTGCACTCGTGCATGTCAATTGCGAACTGACCCAATATATTTTCTTTATCATGACCAGTTCACTGATACTGACGTTGACATTATTAAGAAGTACACATCAAAGGAAAAATGCACAGATTACCGTTAAAATAATTTACACACCCTGTTTCGTGTGTATCACCTGCCATATCAGTATTTATTGCATTTATATATAAATGAGAAATAATCAATGTAAAAATGGTAAATTTTTGGAGAAAAAGACCAAAAATTATGGAAAAAACAACCCAAAAATGTTGTTTTTGACCACTGACTCCTAAACTGTTGGTACAATAATTACGACAACCCCCAAAATCAATTCTAACCTTCCTTTTGTGTATTGAAGTTGAACCTTCTGGTACAATTTCATAAATTGTCATAGAGATCCATTTACTTAAACTAAAGTTATTGTCCGGAAACCAAATGTGTCTTCAGACAACAACAGTGACATGATTGCATTACTCGAAAGCGAATTTTTGACATATTCCCCATTTCCATTCTGAATTTTATTTTGCCGTCGTATAAAAACTTGAAAAGTAAGCTAACAAAACAAAATGCAAAAATGACATAAAACTGACTCTGAATAAGTACATGAAATTGATGTAGAAACCCACAAACAGAAGATGATCAGGAATACATTTATACTGCTGAGCAGTGTTCTCCCCTCAAATTTTAATTAGCATCCCAGCAAATAGCAAAATCTTTAGATTATCAACTTAACAATAAAATTGAGAATGGAAATGGGGAATGTGCCAAAGAGACAACAACCCGACCATAGAACAGACAACAGCAGAAGGTCACCAACAGATCTTCAATGCAGCGAGAAATTCCCGCACCCGGAGGCGTCCTTCAGCTGGCCCCTAAACAAATATATATACTAGTTCAGTGATAATGAACGCCATACTAAACTCCAAATTGTACACAAGAAACTAAAATTAAAAATAATACAGGACTAACAAAGGCTAGAGGCTCCTGACTTGGGACAGGCGCAAAAATGCGGCGGGGTTAAACATGTTTATGAGATCTCAACCCTCCCCCTATACCTCTAGCCAATGTAGAAAAGTAAACGCATAACAATACGCACATTAAAATTTACTTTCCTATTTATGGTTCCTTATGCTTAGATCAAAATGAAAAACCTGATCAAAACATTCTTCTAAACAGGCTCACTGTAAATTCAAACTCTTCTTTTTTAACAATCAGAATGATCCTCTTGCTGATCACATATATATGAGATGCAGGAAACTGGGAATACAATATGAACAACCAGCTAATTTAGAAAGTAAAAATAATTCAACAAACAGAAAGCGTTGACCGTTGTTTGCATTACTAAATAAAAAAACAGCTACAACTTTTAGATATTGATGAAAAAGATATTCCAAATCCTCCACCTTTTCATGAAAATCAACAAAAAATTAATTTAATAAAGTTATGGATTGTATAACAGTATTCATAGTTTTGAAATTAAACAAATGTCTTATTGTTTTAAATTTTGTAAAATTTGCAAAGAAAGAAAAAATGGATATGAAAATGCAAAAGATAATGAATGTAAGCATTGTCATTTATATAATCACCAACAAATTCATTTTCAGCAGAAAATAATGAGGGAACAACCATTTAGCTTCAAAGGGGGGAGGTATGGTTTTTTGTTTGAGTCAGATTTTTTACACCTGAAGTGCTGCAATGCTATCAATCAAAATTATTTAGTCAAAATATAACACTAGAAGGTAAGGGGAAAATCTGGATTCAGAATATTTTTTTTTGTCCTCTGCTTGAACAGAGAATTTTTTTTCCATCAATTTTATAAGAAAAATACTAGTCCAAATAATTATGACGTCTAGGAAGGCTATTTTAAATTTTTGCTTTGACGCCTTCCTGCAACGCGTCAAAGCAAAAAAATACCATACCCCCTCCTGCCTTTTGAAGTTCAATGATCTTTCCCTAAACATTTTCCATCTGAACTTATTATTTTATTTTAGACAAAAACTATACAGATATGTAGGACATTCGTCCTGAACATGCATGAAATATTTGCCACTGGACGTTAAGCAACCAACAATCAATCAATATATAGGATATAGTTTTGGTATAAAGCTGGCATTTAAGGTAGCGCCTTCCTCATATTAATTTTTGTAAAGCTGTCAAACAAGGAATAGTGATCCAGAAATAGTATAATCAAGTTGTCTGCTGTTACTGCTACAGTTTTTTTCTATCTCCTGAACGAAGATTTTCAAAAAGGGGAAATAACTCATTTTTCAAAATTACATCCAGATTAGTTTGAGCATGAAATTTTTGATTTCTGGAATATGTAATATGATATAATTACCCTCAATACATCTAAAATAGTTTTTTTCATAAGAAAGGACTATTTAATCATGAAAATATTCTGATAAAATATTTATTTGCAAATAGAACCTAAATAAAAGGAAATTTCAGGGTAAATTACAATGACTAGTATTCCTCTATTGGCAACTTTCTGCAACATTTACCCAAAAAAAATTTTGCAGCAATTTGTTGACAAAACATCCATAATTTTAAATTTTATAGTCTTTTATGTGAGGATTTCTGCGTTTTCGGTAAAACCGGATGTAAAAAATGACAAAAATCATGCCGATTTTTGTGTTAAGTGGACCACATTATGTACCAAAAAACTGTTTTTATTCGAAAAATTTGTCAGTTAGCAGTTTAAATGA